GTGTGTGTGTGTGTGTGTGTGTGTGTGTGTGTGTGTGTGGGTGTGTGTGTGTGCGTGCCTGCGTGTATGTGTGTGTGTGTGTGTGTGTGTGTGTGTGTGTGTGTGTGTGTGCGGTTCTAAAAAAGGGGAGAAAGAGGATATGATTTAAGGAGACAAATGTATTTCTTAAAGTTCCCATGCTTCTCTGTATAGACTTTAAACATGTTTGATTTATATGGAGAACCGAAACTGGCATAAAATAAAAGCAGAAATGCCTACTAGGCCCAATAAATACATCAACGCACTTGAAATACACCAATTAATTTAAAATAGGATAACTTTACCACATGATTTTTTTTATTGACTCTTATTTTAATTTCAATTTTTTTATCTTAGTATTAATAAATTATATTTTTAAGCACATAATTTATGGTTAACCCAGTTTCATCATCGTAATCATATTTAGAACATGCTCGTTTCTTTAACACACTTATCTCATGCCTATCAACCATTCAAATATGTAATAAAGATAAACCAGTCTTGTTTGTAATAACAATGACACACTTCTAATACTCAAATTCAAATTTTAATTGTGGATTTTCTTTTGTTGAATCTAAAACATTTAAGGATAACATTCTCTTAAAGGCAGAAAATTATATTTTGTTTCCTAACGTGGTGCCTCCTCCAGAGCTTTTAGCCAAAACTTAACATATGGAGCCATAGAATGACACAGACGTTCCATAAATTAGAAAACATTTCCAATTTGGAAGTGGCAACTACATCGATACGCTGTGAAGTCCAGGAACTGATGTGACATGGAAACATATATAGCATGCATGTCTGCAGAACCTGAGAGATGCACTTTACATCTCACACGCTCCACACACGACATGCAGAAAAACTCTGCACCAACTGGCAGGTCTGGCCTTATGATTTGCACTTGTTTTGGAGCAAGGACGTGGACACCTGCCTGTCACCGAGGAGACTGTTAACACCTCTCTGCACCGATGTATTTTAGTGTCTGGTCCGACAGCTGGAGCTTGCTCAAAGTTGAGTCACGCAGCAGTGCAATTATTGCAAACCCAGCAGCAAATCTAGAACAAAATGATAAAAAAAACCCCCTGAAAAATAAAATCCATGTTTCCTGTGAAACTGAAGACTGTACTTTAGTTATTCCTGCTTCGTTCAGTCAACTAAAGCAACTCCTAAAACTGTAAGACATTTGTTATTAACTATACAAGACACTGATGGCTCAATATGAAGAATTGCTCGTTATGCTACAGGTGCATTTCAATAAATTATGATTTTATCAAAAACAATTTCTATAAGTGAAACTCACACAGATTGTTTTTTAATGTTCATGTTACAGTCGATTAAAACTGTTTATTTCAGAAAATGTTGTTATTCAGAAAACCAAAAATATTCATCAATATGGAAATTTTGTGACCACTTAATAGCCTATGCAATCATCATTGTCACAGCTGCATTCAATCATATTAAGGGAAAGTTGAATGGAAGGAAACAATGTGCACAAGCAGCAAGTATTACTATTATAAGAGGATTGTGAAGCAAAGCCCATTCTATGCATACAAGAGTATTTAGTCCACTACGCTGACATGCTTTCAGTACGATGGTATTTGTTCAATTTTTTTTTTTCAGAGAAACTGAATTTTGAGGTTTATGTAAGTCATGATCATCAAAATTCATCAGAATGAAAGAAAGAATGCGTCACCGTCCAATGAATCCTTAGAATAAATGAGATTCACTTCACTGTTTTATTACAAAAAGTCTTTCAATTCAACTAGGTACGACTTTACATGATCAAAATAAAGGATGGAATAGATTTTAAATTACCCAGACCAGTTCCCTGTAGCGCCTTACAGCAGTAAAGGAAAGTATTGGAGCGCCCCTCTGTGATTGGTAAATTAAGTGCAGTAGAAAATGCAGGAAAGTGAATTCAGAGGTTTATTTTTTTTTCTTTTGTTTTAACCTTACATAACCACAAGCACACACTGAATTAAAAAAAACAAAAAACAAAGAAAACAAAAACTTTACCGAGTTGATATGTTTGTACCGTAATTTTATTTTAAAGATCTGAATAGATGAGACAACACTTTAGCTGTCTTTGTGGAGAGAACATTAAGGGAGAGAATATTAAAGCCTCTCTGATGAAGCGTCCTCATCTGATAATGCCCAGCGACTCAAAGTTAGCCATCTGAATAATGAAGAAGTGAGAATGATTATAATGCACCCGACATGGTTTCAGAGTGGGTGTTGGTTTTATTTTGGTTCACTTCCTGTTAAGTTTCTTTTTCTTTGAAAGAGATCAAAGATGTGGAGCTTTCAGAAACTGTTCTTCACTCTGTGTTGTAAGTTTTTAAAAAAAAAAAAAAAAACTATTTTATATAACTTCTTATCTCTGTGTCAGGAGGAAGGACACCGATTGAGAATATCTGATGCTGTTGTCAGACTTTTGATGTCAAAATGTTTTCTTATGCTGTCTTCTCTCTGCAGCAGCTCTGAGCTGTGTGCGCAGCGCTGCAGGTTTGATCCGCGTGTTTGGATATGAAGGTACAGATGTGAAGGTTTCCTGCTCGTATCCTGAGGGATATGAGAGTTACCAAAAGTACCTGTGTAGGAACGACTGCGATTACAGCGACGTCCTTATTACAACATCACAAACAAATAAACCCAGACACTCCATCTACGATGACAAAAGGACCAGAACCTTCACAACAACAATTTCTAACCTTCAGTCAACCGACGCTGGGAAATACTGGTGTGGGGTGACGAGGAATGGAAAAGATCTCTACACCGAGGTAAAACTAGAAACGAAACAAGGTATGTACATTTTTTTTCTTCCTTTTTTTTTTACCATTTCAGTTGCTGAATAGTTTTCAAACAGGATTCGTGACTACCTGAAGGGGCAAGGCTGTATGTAAATGTTTGCAATATTCAGAACGGGTGGCAGTTGAGTAAAATTAGCACAATGACAGGATTTCCTCCATGTCTAATGATTAGTTTACCAAACCTCTGCAGTGCTGCTACTTTCAGCATTTCAAACAAAGCATTGGGATGTAAGTAGCATGAAAACACACACACTTTGCAAGCAGAAGTGAGTAGCTTCATTTCATACAGAACTGAAAACTTCACTAGTCTTTACGAACTGAGTGAATTGTTTTTAAGATCAGCTACCAGGGTAGAAAAAGAAAAGAAAAAAATGTTTTTCTTTTGACAATAAAAAATACTCTCCTACAAAATAACGAAGTACAAATAAGCAGCTTGGACTACAGCAACACCTAGAAAAGTATTTCCAAATGTTTTCCAAATTTGATTGAGATTTTAAGTTATAGACCATCAGTAAGTTTCACATGGATGTAAAGTGGAAAGAAACCAAAATCAGAAATGTTCACGCTTTGAGCTCCTTTTACTTTGTCGGACCAAAACAAAATTCAGCTCTACCAATTGCATGTAGAAGCCGACTCATCAGTGAAACGTGTGAACGAGACGAATGTATTTTCAAGGCCTTGATGCTCCTCATATAAACAAACAGCAGTGGGTGCAAAAACCAAAAGTCGTGCAGTTCTCTGCTTGTTGAATGTGAGTGCTAATCTAACAGCTCATGAAACGGGATCACAACATTATTTTCCTGTGTTGGTAGCCTGTAGGGTTTAGCAGCGCTTGCTTTTGTTTGGAAATCTTCCAAACAAAAGCTTTGGAAGATCTGGAAGATCTGGAAGATCTGGAAGATCTGGAAGACGGCACCTGTGTGCATTTACGCGTCGCTGCTCCAGATTGGTTCACAGGTCTGAGCCGCCTGCATGCAACACCTGCAGGCGGGAGGATTTCTGCTGGATTTTATTCAGATTCATGAGAGATGCAGCAATACTAAAATACTTCATTAAAAAACTGATCTGTGGCTGTATCCGCCCCAAAAGAAGAGATCAGTTGTGCTTTATCTATGTGGGGTTTGGGACTAATCAGATCGAGTCGGGAGTGAAGGAGGTTGGTGCTAAAATTAATTATTCCCTTTTTTGTTTTTTGTTTTTGTTTTTTTTTGACTCAGGCGGCCTTTACTTGAGAATGGTTAGACGGGAAAGTGGGTAACGAAAGATCTGGAAGACATGTGGCAAGGTCATCAGGCTGGGACTCGAACCCGTGACGTCCGAGTCAAGGACTAAGGCCTCCATACGTGGGTTGTTATTTACCCCCGCCCCCCAATACAGCCCCAAAATTTAACAATTACTTTTAATATTTATCTTTGATTGGCAGTTATGAAAAGCATAAAGAGAATTAATAGACTCTTTTTCCGACTGCAGCGAGTTATAATAAAGTGAGAAAGCGAAAGCGTTAGCAGTTGAAAGAGTCCACGCAATGTGCTATTTATGAAGCCGCTGCGTAACTGCAACATGCGACATCATCTTTTCGTCGTAACCTGCATCTTTTACTTTGTTTACAGACAGATGCTGCGACACGGTGAACAACATCCAAGGTAACGAAGACGGTTCAGTGACCATCAGCTGTCCGTACGACTCTCAGTCTGTCAACAAGCTGAAGTTCTTCTGCAGAGGAAACCGGCCCTCCACATGTCTACAGCAGGCAGTGATCACCTCTAGCAACACACAAGATGGACGATTCAGACTCTCTGATGACAGGAAGTCAGGAATATTCACAGTGACCATTTCCAGTCTGACCCTGAAGGATTCTGGGTCGTATCTTTGTGGAGTCCAGAGAAACTCAGGATTTGATGTTTTCACTGCTGTTGAGCTGGAGGTCAAAGGTGAGAGATCAAATTTATGTACTTGTAATGCTTATAAAAGTCAAACACTTTTAAAAAAAAAACAAATTTTGAGGAAAAATGTAGACCTATAAACACTATTTTCTATAATAGTGTTTATAAGCCGTTTAATAATTTTATTTTGTGTACTTTCCAGAATGGTGCTGTGTGAAGTCAAAGGTAATTAGCAAAACTGCAGGACATGAAGTAACCTTGCAGTGCCCTTATCCCCCTAATCACCAAAACAACAGGAAGTTCCTCTGCAGAGGAAGTCAACGCAGCAACTGCACAGACATGATGAAGGGTCAAAGCAGGTTCTTAGTGCACAGTGATTTCTCCGGGGCTTTCTCGGTCAAAATCACACAGCTGGAAGCAGGAGATGCCGGAACGTACTGGTGCCGTTCAGAGCCAGAATGGAACGTCGGAAATTACACCCAGTTTCATCTGTCTGTAGGTGAGAGGCACACAGGTCATGGAAAGGACAATTTCAGTAAATATATCGAGCAAAAGATATATATTTATATCTTTTATTTTAAGAAAATAAATATCTAGCAAAAGTTCAAAGCTTCTAAAGTTACTTGTTGTCCATGTTGATGGATTAAAAATGAAATAGATAAGAACAATAATATAAAAAAACTAAACTATATGATCACTTTTGAAACAAGACAATCTAGAAAATAAAATATGTTTAAAAAATAGTTTTGCATTAAAAAAACTTGCTTTGCTGCAAGTCCATCCAAGTTCCATCATGAACGTCGCAATGAAAATGTAACACTGAGCCTGATGATCGCTTTCACAATCTGTTGTTTCATTGGCAGCCACAGTAGAAGAGGAACAGAACGCGGCCAAAAAGAAAACGCTCCAGGCGCTGCCAACCCAAGGCATCACAACGGGTGAGAAAGTCAAAAGTAACAGAAACCCAAACCCACAACTGAAACCGAGAATAAAATACCTCAGAGCTTTTCAACACCTCTACAGAGTTTGACTGAATTTATTTCGGTTCCACGTGACTCTCAGCTGTTTACAATCATCTCGCTTCCTTTGGAGGAATATTCACTTCAGACCATAAATGAGAAAAACATTTTTGTATGTCAGTTCACCTCGATTTCGCCGGGATGTTTGACCCTGAACAAAGCAAATCCGAACTTCTCATGAGACTTTTTTTGTTTGTTTGTTTCTTTGACAGGTTATCAGCACCAGAGCAGCACAGTGAAAACTGGCCTGACAGCTGCACCGCCGGTCTCTAAGGAACTCATTGAAGGTACGGCGAGTTTGTATTTTAGTGGAGGTATTCTTCAGGCTAGTAGCTGAAGGTATTTCTGTTGCTTTCTAAATATTCCAGTTAAAACCTAATGTTTCCGACTTTGGTTTTTGGTTTGATGACGGTTGGTATGACAGTGGTTTGGTGGTTTTGCTTCACAGTTTGACCTTGAAAACATTTCCTATGCTTATTAAGCACAGTCATATTTATATACTCTCCTCTGAAGTCAGGCTCATTTCTAGACATTGTGAGTTAATATCTCATCATGGAGAAATGATTACACAACACACATCTTTTCATTGGCTTAAGGTATAAAAATTGAGAGCAGAAGTTTACAGTTTTTTGGATTTTTTTCCTAATCCACACAGGGTCAAGTTGTTTCTAAGTATCTTGTTCACAAGGGATGGTAAGATAGAGAGAAGGATGGACAGATTGAGGCTTTGACTGCAGTAATGCAGGCTCTGCACTGGTTTGTTGAACTGTCGGTCGATCTACAGTTCAACTCTCACCTGGTGAGATATGAATCAGAACCGATATCTTGTCACGACAAAACCAGGAAGTCTCCCCTGGGGGCCGATTTCACATATTTACAGATTGTGAAAGTGTGAATTGTAAGATTTCCAGTTACGTCAATAGAAAGAGGGGAAAAAAGCGAAGAAGACGTGAACGTGTGCAACGAGATTAGTGCTCAAAGTTAAAAAAAAAAAAAAAAGGCTTTTCATTTCCACTACTGTGCATCAGCTCAACCCACCAGCATTATAAAAACATTGTATTTTAGACTGTTTTGTAATGGACTTCCAAATTGTAATAGAGCTTCTAGTAATAAAACAAAGCAATTGATTTATACTTGTGAACCGCAGTCAATGTTTTAAGGAAGTGACATAGCTTTGTGTTAAATTTATTGTTTTTCTTCGTTCAGGGCTTCCAGACGTCGCTCTCTATTCTCTCGCTGCCGCCTTCGGTGGGCTGCTGCTGCTGCTGACTGTCATCCTGGTCTCGGTTTTCAAGAGCAAATGTGGCAAAGTGAAAGGTGAATTTAGAGCTTCCTCCGTTGTCCCCAGTTCAGTCAGATGCGTGCGCGCGCAGACGTTTTCTCGTGTTTCGTTCTGTTCCAGGAGTCGGAGTCGTTGCAGACGGAAAAAAGCTCGACTTCGTGGAAGAGCAGGAGGTGTGTGGGGGAGACGATGTAAGAAAACTAATGTCCAAGGTTTTGTGGTTAAAGTATTATGATCAATCATACAAATGTGTTTACACCACATTCTGTGGCACAATAAAGGGGGGGCGATGTGAACTTAAAGCTTTATATTATAATACTTTTTGGTACTATTGGGATAATAATAACTGATAGGCTTTTCCAGGATTCCCCTTTTTTTTATCTCCATCCATCTGTGCATGAACTCTGACCCGTTTCCCCTTAACCTCCTTCCTGAATGCATGCCCACTGCATAATGCTGCCACTACCATGTGCCAATGAACTGTGTTTTTAGGGTGATCCGCAGTGCTGGATCGTCTTATAAAGCCCAATGAAGTTTAGCTTTAGTCTCGTCTGACCAAAGATGCGTAATTAGCAGAAAACACGAACCAGTTTTAGACGTTTTTTCCAAAATGTCTGAAAATCCCCTCCACTCAACTCTATATGAATATGCTGCACATTTTCCACAATATTCTAATTCTTTGAGATGCTGAAGTTTGGATTTTCATCAGCTGCAGGCTACAATAGTCAACATTTACAAGAAATAAAGGCTTAAAATATGTCACGGCATGACTAATTAAGCTGCATTTACTTTCACTTTCTGCAATGAGTGGGTTAAAATAAATATCAAACTTTTTCACAATATTCAAATGTTTACAGATGAAATGAAACTGAGGGGGGAAAAAAAAACCAAAGCGTTGCTATTTTTTGCGAGGCAGTGCACACCACGTCCATCGGTGTACGTTTATAAAATCATCTCTGCTGCATCATGCACTGATGAAATGTGATCCACTGTTTCCTCCAGGTGTATCAGAATCATGACTCTATAGCGATGAGATCACAGCAGATCGCCTCGTGGCAACAAAATGCCAGCTGTCACGTCGATGATGTGGATGAAGAGGAAGCCGACTACAAAAACGTCACAGCGGCTGAGGATATCTACTGCAACGAGGGTTTCTATAAGTTAAAGTGATGGAGAGCAGGTTCAGCGCTAAACCAATACACAGATAGTCGGTTTTAATGTGTGGCTTCTCTGAACATATTCAGAGGAGAATATTGTCTTATTTTAATGTTTCTTTTTCACTGCACACATTTGTGTTTGTGGCTTGATTTTATTGAAACAATCATATTATTATCCATACAAAAAAGCTACCTGTTACCCACTTGTAAATACAAGCAAACAAGTAGAGATGAAAGGAACACACATCTTATTAACAGTTATATTTCGCATATATATATATATATATGTACATTATGTTTATATGTATTATTCTGTATTAGTGACAGTTTACTATCATTGTCGTTCAATCAAATGTGACACAAAAGTAAATCACAGGTTTCACATCTAATTTTTGACCTGAAAATGTGACTAAAGGAAAAATAATAGGAGCCAAAAGAAAACAGCACTTTAATTTAAGTAGTGAATATGTCTTTTTATTTTTTCTTAAATAGATTAGTTTCTTTTAAGAACAAATCCATTTAAGCTTAACTAGGTCTGATGATAAGAGAAAGATAAAGACATGCAAATAATGAAGCTAATAAGCGAAAATTCAACCTGGAAGACTCCATCCCCTCCGTTCGTCCATCGGCGTCATGCTCATCTCAGTCCTCAGCGCTGGACCTCACCTGGCGTGTCCAATCATCAATCAAGCTCAGCATAAAAGGATCCACACCCAAGTCGTCGGCCGCTTCCCAGCTGCGTTCAACCCACCACCGCCCCTTCTCCACCCACATCCTTCAGCTCTCCAGGATGGCACCCTTTCCAGACCTTCACCACCAGTGTCGGGCCCCGGGGGAGAGCATCCCTAATCGGTTATCGGGATGTTCATCGAGTTCACATCAAATCTCAGCTCAGATCAGCTGCCGGGGCCCGAGCGCCAAAGAACTGTTATTCATTGCTGTCATTAAATCTTTTAATTGTTCCTTTTTCTTCGTCTGAGTCTTTCCAGATTGAATTGATGATTCCTCCAAAAAAAAAAAAAAAAAAAAACTTTTAGTTGCGTTTAACTTCCTTCATGAACACAGAAGCAGAAGTTGTTCCTCTTTTCTGAAAAATGTTTTATGAGAATCACTTTTGCTGACATAGATGAAGTTGACATTGAAATAGAGTTTATTATTTGGACATTTTATGACTCAGTTTGTATAAAAACAAACAAAAAAAAACATCTTGGCATGTCATGTGCCAGGGTACCAAGCCTTTTTTTGTTTTTGTTTTTCAAAGTCATTTTCAACATGAAATTAGTTTCATGTATTTAATTTCTGGCAACTTACTATTTTTTTGAGAATGGAAACCTTAGTTAAAGAATAGCTTAATAGGAAGTATTCAGTGTGGAGAAAGAATCAGCTGACTGTGTAAAGGAATCAGCCATGTTTTTAGTTGGCATCAGAGGGAAAGTCTGAGGTCATATTATCCGATAGATTCGAATGAACAATCACAATCTGTTGAACATATATTCAAAAAGGCATTTCTATTTAAATAAATAAATAAATAAATAAATAAATAAATAAATAAATAAATAAATAAATAAATAAATAAATATATATCTGAATCAGATAAAAAGTTCTGAAAGTCGTGTCTTTGACAAACAGGAGAAATATCCAGCACGGGCCTTGCAGGACCTGAGAGATGAATTGTTTTCAGCTAATGGCTCTTTGGGGCCCAAACATTGTGTTCTTGTCCCGCTCTTTGTCCTGGCATTCTTAAAGAAACCGGTCACTAATTACCACTGATGTTCCACCCCGGGGCCCGGCGGCATTGGCGGGCATTGCCCGTCCGTAGAGTCAGCAGTGGCCCCGCCTGGACTGGACGCTGTTTGTTGTTTTTACCTCAGAGTTGCCAACTCTCTGTTACTCATATATCGATTTGATACAGAAGGAGCTTCCGCACTTTCCATATCTGTGGCTTCCGTCACTATTTTCAGCCATTAAAACTGTTTAATCCGTTGTTATCACGTCGTAACCTGCTTTTCCGAGCCGCCCTCAAACGCAACATGAGCGCTAAGATGCTGGGTTACACCTGTGCGGCAGCGACGGAGACCTGCACAGGTGTGTTAGAATCACGGCAGCAAACCAGCAAAACGCAAATAATTTTTCACAGTTTTTCCTCCTAAACTAACCGACTGAGTTGAGTAAAGCTGTTGGATGCAGGTAAAGTTAGCTAAAAGATGACTAGCTAATATCAATACAGCACCTAAAGCTTGTTAACTAGCAGCCTGTAGGCTACTGATGTTGTCTATTTTCAAAAGTGGGTAGTAATTGTTACATTCACTTGAGTAACGTTTTTGGAAAATAAAAAAGGTACTTATAAGAGTTGTTTTAGTTTTCAGGGGTGGATAAAAAAAAAACCTGCGCTGAGCAGAAAGTACACAGAAACAGTCAACCCCTAACGGGATACTTGATGCACAGCAGAGAGGGGGGCATGGCTGTTGTATTGTATCCAGACCCGCTTCCACCCCACCCCTCGACCTCCAGCCCTTCCTCACCCAGCCAGCCACTAGCAAATTCATCAAACTCCGTCGATCCCCAGAGCAAAAACAAGCATTAATGCAGATAAATCCTCTACAACAAGCTGACTGCTGTGAAGGTGAGCTGCTTTATTGGGCAAAGATGTTTATTATTAGTTGGACTTTCTTCACACATGATTTTGTCATTAAGTTTGGAACAATAATTTTTCTGCAAACCTATAGTGACACTTTTTTTTTGTGAAATACTGATAATTCATAACTTCTTGTTTGCAGCGTTCAGGTACAACGACAGAGTTAGCTGCTTCAGTATTTCCGGTGTCATTATTTGAGTTGGTCTCGTTAATTCCAGCCGATAGTAAAATATAAATAAAAAACACCGTGGTGGCCACTAGATGGTGCTGTTGCTCCAGATGTCCACCTGTGGATTCTTGACGTCTAACTCTTGGAAGAGTACTCAATCTCTTGTTGAAATAACTAAAAGAGTTAAATAAATTCAAATTCTAAAGTAAAACCAAATAGACTTTAAAACAATTTAGATGTGCCCAATTTGCTCTGAATGTTTTGTTCACTGCATTAACACTGTTTCCTCAAAATATTTCTCTCTGCTGTTTGTCCTGGTTTTTGCTCTAGTTTCTTGTCTTCATGAACGATGTGGAGCCATCAAAACCTGCAGCTCATGTTGTGCAGTAAGTTATCGAATTTGAGTTTGAGAAAATGTTCTTGTTGGATGTTGATTTATCTTCTTGTGACAAGTTTCTTAAAAACAAATAATCTTTATTTCTACCAGGTGATTAAAAAGAACAATGCATTTATTTCATGGGAATACATTTGAAAATGATACTATTTGTATACGATTATACAGAGTGTTAGAGAGAAAAAAATACATGAAAACTTGTTGTCTTCTCTCTGCAGCAGCTCTGAGTTGTGTGAGCAGCGCTGCAGGTTTGGTCCTTGTGTTTGGATACGAGGGCAGAGATGTGACGGTTTCCTGTCCATATGATCCAGGATATGAGAGATACCAGAAGTACCTGTGTAACAGCAGCTGTGGTTACAGCGATTTTCTTATCAGATCATCACAAGAAAATACAACCAAATACTCCGTTTACGACGACAAAACAACAAGAGTCGTCACAGTGACCATCTCTGATCTTCACTTTGATGATACTGGGAAATATTGGTGTGGAGTGACCAGAGCAGGAAAAGACATCTACACTGAAGTACAGCTGGAGGTAAAAGCAGGTAATTAATAAAACTCTTAATACCTGTATGAGCTTACAGGTAGATGGACAATAAGGGAAAAAAGCTGAATCCAGGGAGGTTGGTGTGTGTGAAGGTGGATGGTGGAAACTAGGGAATGATAAATTTTGGTTACTTTTCCACTAATTTTATTTCTATAGTGTAAGGACTGTCCTTAAAAATGAGAAAAGGCGACAAATTAAAGGCAGAAAAAGAAATAAGGGGAAAGAAAAAATCTATGAATGATCCACTTTGATTCCTTTTCTTTGTTTAAATAATTAATTGATCAGAGTTATGTTGGTGAACTTAAATAAAGACATGACCATAACACCAACTAAAATATAGAAATAAAATGTTTTCGATTGAAGAAAGCATGAAGACGGGGGCTGGAGAGTGTTGCATTTAAATTAAATCATGAGATTTAAATAGAAAATTCACATAGATTAGAAGAGAATAAGATTCATACGGCTGAACGCAGATTGCCTAAAACAGAACATAAAAAAAATGCAAAAAAACCCCCCCAAAAAAAACTTTTGTTTTGCTGTGACATAATTTCAGTATTTAATTATTAAAAACTTAAAACACATAATATGAAAATTCTGCTATTTCTGGGTTGGAAAGTTTTTAAAGATTTCTACATTTCTGTCTCTTTGCTTCTTAGAATAACAATTTTCTGTAACTTTTGCTGTAAGTAACAGTTTTGTCTTCCTATCAGACAGATGCTGCGACACGGTGAACAACATCCAAGGTAACGAAGACGGTTCAGTGACCATCAGCTGTCCGTACGACTCTCAGTCTGTCAACAAGCTGAAGTTCTTCTGCAGAGGAAACCGGCCCTCCACATGTCTACAGCAGGCAGTGATCACCTCTAGCAACACACAAGATGGACGATTCAGACTCTCTGATGACAGGAAGTCAGGAATATTCACAGTGACCATTTCCAGTCTGACCCTGAAGGATTCTGGGTCGTATCTTTGTGGAGTCCAGAGAAACTCAGGATTTGATGTTTTCACTGCTGTTGAGCTGGAGGTCAAAGGTGAGAGATGAAAGCTTTACCTCAAATTCGTACTTTATAGATCCACTAATAATGGTTTTGTCTTGTATCTGAAAACAATATTGCAGGACATTTTGAAAAATGGCTATACACCTGCATTTGTTATTATATCTGTATTTAAAACATTAACTAATTTATTTTCATTATTAACCAAAGTTTTTGAGTTATTTTGGAGTGATATTGGACTCCTATACATATTTTACATTGAGCCTCCTGGCAGAAAACGGTCCCCACAACTTATAGTGCTGCACATGAAAAAGATTTACACAAGTTTACCAAACATCGACGCCACGTATGTCCTCGGCTGATTGTTGCAGACCTTGATGCTGCAGCATGAGCATCAAGAGAGGGGCTGCATTGTTATTCATTTATTATTTGTTTGACATAGTTGGCCTCATTTTACTTCTTGGTTGTCACAGAGAAAGGAGAGCAAAATGCAAGTAGAGAAAAAGAGCTTGAGGATCTGCCACCAAGCATCACGACAGAAGGTGAGAGAGACCAGACCACACACACACACACACACACACACACGCACACATGAAACAGAGAAAGTGGTTTCACTCGGCCTCCCTGTTGCAGCAGGAATGGTAAGTTCAGCAAATGACACTTGTGGCCAATGTGTTGAATCACAAAAATGTATTCAACACATTTGGTAACTCCTCTGCTTTAAACCTGTTACCACTTGTGACTGAGCGGTTGAGGACGACTGTCTTTGCAGATGTCTTCCTGTTGCCTGGCAACCACAAAGCATGTGACTTTGGCTCCTTCAAGGCTCAAATCGAAACTGAAACAGAAAATGAGTCTGAGTTGACTGTGATGTCTGTAGAGATGCTAGACCTTCTTCAGTCGACTAGAATATGCTCAGTGATTCTAAAGTTTCTCCCAAACATTTTTCCATCTTGTCGCAGACGGTGAGGTTTTGAAAAACATTTGTTTCTGTGGGCAAAACATGAGGAAACGGGGGAGAGAGGGATCTTATGGGACATCAAGTCCTGTTTCTAAAGGAGCGGGTTTGCTTTTACTGTGTATGTGTGTATTAACATTTTTTTAATTGTCTTTTTTTTCCTCTTTGTTTTTCTATTAAAACATCATCTGATAATCTTTAGAAATTTCAGTGCTCAGAGTTCAGTTAATCTGAATGTGCTGAGATGTTTGGCTGCTGAAGACAAAAGATCACAGTAAAAAAAAACCCAATCTATTAAAACTGAGTTTTTATTTCTCTAACAGTGTATCAGCATCAGAGCAGAACAGTGAAAACTATCATTTCTACCACACCACCAGCATCAGAGGAACAGGCTAAAGGCACAGTGTGTGTTAATGTCTGAATGTGTACAGATTTAATATATCGAGAGGCCGCACAAACAAAACCCTGCTTGCTCTCCAGTCGTCATCTGGATATTAAAGTCGAGGGTTTTTGAGATTGCTGCTGACTTTTTGCGTTTCATATTTCAGGAAGTGAATGTGAATAAAATCTATATCAGGAAGCTTTAAAAAGTTGCAAGTGTAAACGCCACAAGTGTTACAAGTGTGTCATATTTACTGGCAGAATTAAATATCTTTTATTTTATCTACATCTATAAGCCCAAAGCTGTTATTTCCACTGGCAGATTTTGTTTTTAAAGTTATTCTCAATCAACCACAAAATTAGTTGCTGACATGAAATGAAACAATGTAAACTGTGTGAGTTTTGAACAAACTGATATGTGTTAATTTACGTTCAAATAAAATATAAAAACATCTTAATGTTGTCGCTCTCCAGCACCTCTGAGCAGCGCTGCAGGTTCGATCCGTGTGTTTGGATACGAGGGCGGAGACGTGAACGTTTCCTGCCCCTATGATCGGGGATTCGAGGGTCATCAGAAATACCTGTGCAACCACGACTGTCGTTACGCCGACGTTCTTATAACGACGTCGCAAGGAAGTAGTGGAAAATACTCCATTCACGATGATAAAACAACAAGAATCTTCACAGTGACCATCTCTGACCTTCGCCTTGATGACGCTGGGAAATACTGGTGTGGAGTGACAAGAATAGGAAGAGATATCAGCATTGAAAGAGAGCTGGAAGTAAAACCAGGTAAATGTTGAAGTCGACGGTAAATATTAGGACAAGACAAGTTTTCTGTAACTTTTGCTGTAAGTAACAGTTTTGTCTTCCTATCAGACAGATGCTGCGACACGGTGAATCAAACCCAAAGTACTGAGGAAGGTTCAGTGACCATCAGCTGTCCGTACGACTCTCAGTCTGTCAACAAGCTGAAGTTCTTCTGCAGAGGAAACCGGCCCTCCACATGTCTACAGCAGGCAGTGATCACCTCTAGCAACACACAAGATGGACGATTCAGACTCTCTGATGACAGGAAGTCAGGAATATTCACAGTGACCATTTCCAGTCTGACCCTGAAGGATTCTGGGTCGTATCTTTGTGGAGTCCAGAGAAACTCAGGATTTGATGTTTTCACTGCTGTTCAGCTGGAGGTCAAAGGTGAGAAGCCAAGCAGACTACCTCGATTTTTATTTTTTGTGATCTTACCCTGTTTTCTCTCAACAAAAAAAAAAACAAAACAATGTTGCTATTTTTATTCGTCAGAGTGGTGCTGTGCAAAGTCAAAGAACATGAGTGGCGTAATGGAGCGTAGCGTAACCTTCCAGTGCCCTTATGCACCCCAGCATCACAACGACACAATGTTCCTCTGCAAGGGAGACGGAGCCAGCAACTGCACAGACATGATGGGCCAAAGTAGGTTTGTTCTGAGCAACGTTTCCTCCAGCTCTTTCTCTGTGACGGTCACAAAGCTGGAAGCAGGAGATGCTGGGACGTACTGGTGTGGCTCAGGCCCCGAGGCGAATGTTGGAAACTTCACCCGCTTTCATCTTTCTGTAGGTGAGAGAGACGCAGACGTAAAAACGACCTCAGTTTCCTGTGCAGTTTTGTACATCAGGTGTAGAGGTCACAAAGTTAAAACTGGGACCAAAGTTCAGCACCAGTGGGATTCAAGTTCTCTTGGGTTCGCGCAGACTTGCAGGATAAGTGAATCCTCACTGGTTTATCACCAACTGCATGAGATCATGTCAGACTGTCTGGGTGTTGTGTTCGCGACGGAAGCTGAGAGCAGATGCTTCCCGCATGAAAACAGAAAAATAAGTTACACTATCGAGAGAAAACCACCAGGGGAAAGTATGTACTGAAAACATAGTAGTAGTTTGTCTACACATTTGAAGGATTATTTATTTATTTATTTATTTTTGCCAAGTACAAGGCATTTATTTTGCTGTTCAGGGTTAGGACCTGGAGACATTGATTGGTTAATGTCAACTGCGAAGAGCTTAAACCAAAACTTCTTGAAAATGTCTTTTTTTCTATTTATGGCAGACGCGACTCTCCACCAACTTCCACATCCAGCTTTCTATGCCCTGTTTGCTTTAGCTGCTGGGCTGCTGCTGATGGTGACATTGGTCCTAGTTAAAGTTTACAAGAACAAATGTCACAAAACATTGAGAGGTGAGCTTGTTTTTTGTCTTCACCATGAGCAATAAGAGGTGTATAAGTAAATTTGATTATTTATGCTTTTTTTTTTTTCTTTCAGAGAGAAAAGTTTCCAGATGAAGAATCTGAAGCTTCGGTTTGCAGACACATCAGCTGATGGTTGGACGACGTGCGGAACATCTGCAGACCAAAGTTTTGTCTGCGGGTCGATGGGATCATATAATGTTCACTGGACTATTTAAACTTAAATTAATTTGATTCTTTTTTTTTAAGTACTCAGATTTTATTTTTTAGCAATTTTTTGGGTCTTATTTTAGAGCAATTTTCATACAACAGTGTGTTTGTCAGAGGTGAAAAAAGGGAAACGAGTACAAACGGCTAACCCAGCAAAGTAAAATAATTATCTCACAATGTCAAACTACGTACAACTGAGGAAATGCAATTGTATCTGTAATAATGAATAAAACAAGACGAGTATAAACAGTATAAAAATGTCAAAACTCTAAACTGCACACCTAAACGATAGAATAAATAAGAATGAACTGGAACTTTGAATTAAATGTATTCATGAGGCTCAGTGTCCAGTGATGACAGGAAGGCAACAATATTCGCTCTGACATTTTCCAGTCCGACTCTGAAGGATTCTGGGTCATATTTTTCAAGCACGGCACTCTGGGACATACTGTGACCTCCAAGTGTCCTTGTCCACCTCATCATCGTAACAAAAAGATGTTCCTCTGCAAAGGAGACCAGAGCAGCACGTCTTACATATTCACGCTGACTGCACAATGTTCACAGCATGATGATACAAATGTAGACTAAACTACTAATACTGTAGTTTACAAAGCCGAAAATCTAACAACCAAAATGGATATATGGTTTTTATTTTTTGCATTAATTCCATTTTCTTAGACTTGGTATGTTGCTTGTTGCAGAGAAAGAGCAGAATGTTATGTTAGAAAAGCCCAAAATGGAAGGTGAGATGGGGAAATGAAACTGGATTAGTGGCAGAGTTCACAGAAACACATTCTCGCCTTCATATGTGGCGTGTTCATATTTAATGTCTTCTCTACTCCAAAAACGCAGTCTAAAGAGTTCCCCTTAATGTGACCAAAGTCGCCACTTAATTTGCTGTCGATTTGAAGAAATGCAACCGATCAACCTAAAAAAAAAAAACATGTTTGATTGAGCTGGTTTTAAGATTTTACTTAAACAGACTGAAGTTCCTCTGATTCAAAAAAACAAGCTTATCAGTGAAAAGTGGACTTAAAGTCAAATTCATTCTTTTAATCCATTTAGATGAAAAATCTAGTAATTAAAAATCCCTCAGTAAAGTTCACTCAGTTACTGATGTATCTAATGTGCAGTGTTTGCTCAGTAAACACATAATCCAGCTTATTTTATGCTACATCCCATAGGTCCAAGTTAGCATCTGCAGATTAGCAGAGTATGGAAACCAAGGAGAACGTGATTCCATCACTGGGTCAAAGGTCACTAAGGTAGGGGCACCAACATGGATGAGATTTGACCTGTGATCCTAAAGGCTCTGGAGACGGAGAGCAAAGAAATGAGGGAGCCTCTGCTGTATCTTATCAAGGTTGGACTAAAAGAAAGTTTTCCACTCTGAGGTAAAAACGCATAAATTAATAAAAAATAAATTTGAAAGAAATCCAGCCACGAAATTTGTCATGCGCATATGGAGCCACATATGACTTTCACATGAATAGAGCGCTCATGTTCTCTGTTTACATGCACATTGGGGCTGTTTTAGCAGCGTGGGAGCAGATAATTGGGTCAATAATATTCTGAAAAACCAATTTTGCTGCAACCTGCCGTTTTTTAATGTTGGCCTTTTTTCACACTTTGTTGGAAAATCTGATGTATTAACTTGACATGTTAAAAAAAAAACAGAGCTGGACTGTATTGCAGTGTGGTCCATGCTAGAAAAAATTAACATAGCGTTGCATATAAAAACTCTAAATTTGATGGTGGTGTTGTATTTTAACTTGGAAAAAACAGTTTCGAATGATAATTGTGCCTCTTTTGATAGGTTTATCATTTTTGTGAGGCAGCAAAGTGGATAAAGTTTCTGTTCTTCTATGTCTATGTTTGGACACAAATGAGCAGAGCTAACCTCAGGAAGCCCAGTGGTTTCCTCAAAATATTTCTAAGAGAAGAGTAACTTTGCTTCTGCTTTAGTTTGTCTGTTGCCTTGAGGAACAGAAAGATGTGGAGCCTTTATAACTTGATCCTCATGTGCAGTAAGTTAAAGTATTTGATCTTAAATATGTTGCTCTTATTTAGTGGTTTGATTTATTACCTCCTGATATGATCTAGTAAGATAGCTCAGCTTTTTTTGGTACACAACGAAGAAAAAAAAAACATCTGAGATGACGGTTAATGATCTACAGGCATCAGACTTTGAGTGTTTTAGAAAATACAATTAAGCATCTAATAACATATAATTACTAACTTTTCATTTTAGCTGCTGTGAGTTGTGTGACCGGTGATGTAATCCCCGTGTTCGGATATGAGGGCAGCGCTGCAAAGGTTCCCTGTCCATATGGTCCAGGATATGAGGATTATGAAAAGTACCTGTGCAAGAACGACTGCAGAGACGATGATGACGTTCTTATTAAATCAAAAGGAAATAACAACAAATACTCAACCGACGATGACAAAAGAGCGAGAACTTTCACAGTGACCATCTCTGACCTTCGTCTAGATGAAGCTGGAAAATACTGGTGTGGAGTGACCAGAGACTTAACAGATATATACAAGGAAGTAAAGCTGAACATAAGACCAGGTAAAAGAATAAAGTTCAAATAAAAAGCATGAAATGTAATACAGTCCAGCTGTTTAACAACAGCTTTGCTCAATGTAACATTTAGCTAAATTACAGTTGTTAAAGTATTGTTTCCTTGTCCTATATGGTATATTGTAAGTAACACAAAATAACACTCTGCAGCACCTTCAGTGCATTGGCCATAGAAAATAAGGCTGAGTATATAAAAGCTCTGAAACGCTTTTGTTTATGCAGAAAAAAGAAAACTGTTCAGAAAGGTGAACTATGCAAACAGTGACATTAAGACATTCATGTTCTGAAAAACATACTGTATGTGTTTTTCCTCAATACGTCTGATAGTTTACCGCGTTGTCTTCCTATCAGACAGATGCTGCGACACGGTGAACAACATCCAAGGTAACGAAGACGGTTCAGTGACCATCAGCTGTCCGTACGACTCTCAGTCTGTCAACAAGCTGAAGTTCTTCTGCAGAGGAAACCGGCCCTCCACATGTCTACAGCAGGCAGTGATCACCTCTAGCAACACACAAGATGGACGATTCAGACTCTCTGATGACAGGAAGTCAGGAATATTCACAGTGACCATTTCCAGTCTGACCCTGAAGGATTCTGGGTCGTATCTTTGTGGAGTCCAGAGAAACTCAGGATTTGATGTTTTCTCTGCTGTTGACCTGGAGGTCAAAGGTGAGAGGTCAAACTAGCTACCTTTGTTGAGATCAGTTGTCATAGAGGAGTGTGATATGAACCTTCAATATGTCGTTTTTTGTCAGAGTGGTGCTGCGTGGAGTCAAAGAACTTGAGTGGCATTGCGGGACGTGCGGTAACCTTCCAGTGTCCTTATCCACCTCATCATCGTAACAATACGACGTTCCTCTGCAAAGGAGCGCAGCGCAGCGACTGCACATACATGACTTATCAAGGCAGATTCACACTGCATAATGTTAACGCCGCCTTTTTTTCTGTGGTGATCACAAAACTTGAAGCAGAGGATTCTGGGACGTACTGGTGTAGATCAGACCCAGAGTGGATTGTTGGAAACTACACCCAGTTTCATCTGACTGTAGGTAAGAGCATGACGATACACTGCAGCTAGGCCTTCACTCAAGGTGATCTTTTTATTGCTTTTAAAAATTTAAACTGAACGTAATAGTAATGTTTTCATTCATAAAGCAGATTAAAAATCTCAGATAGTTAGAAAAATTGTACAAGCAGCTCATGCTTGTACAGAACCAGATATTTTGATGTACTGATTGTTGTGTTGTACTCACAGTTTATCATTGTTGGTGTGTTTCTTGTTGCAGAGGAAGAAGAACAGCGTGGTTTGTCCATAATAGAAGGTGAGATGGTGAAATGAAACTGAGCTTGTGGCAGAAAAGCCACACATTCATATTTAGCATGTTCATATGTGGTGTGTATTTGTCAGAGTCGATTGCTCTCTCAACATACCACAGCCCCTTTGACTCATACCTCAGATCCAATAGATGAATTCAACTAAAGAGTCTCCCTTATGTTTACTAAGGTATCCACTTGTATTGCTGTCAATTTCTAGAAATCTCACAGAATAACCTCAAAAACATGATGTGGTTTGACATGACCTGCTTGGTCCAAACAAATGTCACCTAAACAGTTTTATCAGAGCAAACTGGTGTTAACCTGATAAAAACCAGGCCCATGTTCTGGGCTTTGCTTCGTAAAGAGGATCTGGAGAGAAACAAGAAACGAGAGCAACAAGGCGAGGAGTCGATGATGTTACTCAGTAATGTTACTTTTGTTGACTCATCTGTCTGTGTAGCATTCACTTAGAAAACTCAGAGTCTGGCTTGTTTTGTTCCATTTCATATGTCAGCATTAAGAAACACCCATTCAGTTACTTTCTGATTTCTTCGAAATCCTAAACATAAAATATTTGTTTCATTTCCTGATTCCTTAGTAAAGTGACACTATTCTGTGTTTTCCAGGCACATTGTGCATTTCTATAAAATAATCAAGTAACTACGTTAACTTCAAATTACGACTTAAGAGAATTCTGGCTTCCTAATTTAATGCCCTGAAACTGCCTGTGTCTTTTTAAATGTCCTGCTTTCTCTGAAACTCCTCCTTCAGGAAGTCATCACAGCATCGCTCCTCAATTAACCTTCTAATAAAGTTTTTATCGGCTTTGCACTGAGAAGCAGCTCCTACAATGAGCTTAGCACACATGCACAGTTCCACCAGGTGTTTGCTAATTTCTGCTGGCTAGTCTGAAGGACTATATTTTATCTCTACACCTAAGCACCATCGTGAAACACCACAAACACCTATGTGCAAAACTCTTTCCTCTCTTTGGCCTCTTCCCAGAACCTATAAGGTGAAGTAAACACCCAGGACTGGACACAGAAAGGACAGTGGAGTCGTCACCTCTTACCACTGCAATCTCGCTTTTCCTGCAGCCACACTTTAAACATTTTCTACACAAACATTTGCTCAAGTTTCACTTAACAGCAGCCCCCAGTTGCTCTGAGTAATTATTATTCTCCCTTAACAGGCAACCACCTCACTTCTCTATGAGTAGCAGCTGCATACAGAGCCTGGAACCAAACGCTACATGCTAATTATTAAAATGCTAAATAAAAGTTCAATAAATAGTTACAACTTCTTGTGTGAAAATAGTGGATGTGAAACGCCATGCTTAAAGCGTGGTGCTACATGAAAGTGCTTGTAGTAAAATGCACATGTGCTCTTGCAAGTTAAAGTAAAAAAATGGTTTCAGCAATAGAAACTCTTCATTGTAGGGGAAGTTAAGCGTTTTGATGTGTTGTGTGCTCTGAGCTGCAGCCTTCAGTCTGGCTCCAGGATGGTGCGCTATTGTTCTCCATCCATGTAGACTTTGTAAGTTTAAACTTTCCCCATCAAGGTCATCAAATCTCTCTTGATCTGATCCCTTCTCTGAGGTCAAAGTGACAGCAGAGAGGACATGGGGTTAAAGCATCAGACAACATGATTCTGTAGAGCGGCACACTCTGTTTCTAAATAAAACTACGACTCAAGAACGATCAGATTAAGACTAATTGTAGAAAACAAGTCTGAGTGGAGCTTGTAAGACTTCAGGGACTTTTTGACAGCCCTTCCCACTTGCAGCAGCGTGGCGCTTTAAGGCTAATGTGTTTGAGGAAGTCAAGTCATTTCATCTTGAATTTGTTTTACTCTTTATCTGTGGCTTTCATCTCCAGCTCAGTACTGGCTTTTCGCCGGGCTCCCCGTTCTGCTGCTGATACTGATAATCATCCTGGTCAAAGTTTGCAGGACCAAACGTCGCCAGTTGAATGGTGAGCTTAGTGCTTTCGCTTTCAACAAAGGCAAATGTGCGTATAAACTGATTTATTTTCATTTGCTTCGCTTCACTAGAAGCAGCAGTCGACATGATCGCAAGCAAACTGGAGGCAGCAGATGCACAAGACGTGACGAGTGGGGAAGACGTAAGAAAACAAGTCCAAATGGTTTTTTTTTTTTTTTTTACACGGCCCAGTACCAACATGAGGCGGCACTTCAGATGATTTTATATGAAAACTTTAGTTGATACAATAACAAGTCGAAACCTTTAAAAAAACATATTTCTGGTAAAAAAAAAAAAAAAAAAAAAAATTTTAAAAATTTTTTTCCTAATTTAACAAATTTTTTTTAAAAAAGGGCCCACA